CCCCGGTCCTACGACGCAGCACTTGACGACGATGCGCGCATTCAACATCATCGAGCACCCGACCCTCGGCGGCGAACCTGCGTCGCGCAAGGATTACTTCACCGCAATCGGCCTCGCGAGTGCCGTGGCGACGATTGCGACGACCGTCGTCGCACTACACGTGAACGGCACGCCCATCGCCGCAGTCCTCGACTCGTACGTCCGTGCTCTGTCCTCTACCGTCCTCCATCCCTTCTGACCTCAATGCGCAGCTTTGTCCACAGCCACTACTAGGCTCGCTTTGCGCGATGATTGGCAACCATACCCTTCACTAGCGGTGAGCTCTGGCGCTTTGTATGTTTTCTAGTGCACCTTCTCATTGCTTCGAAGGACGCTAGTGGTGCAGAATAACCAACGCCGGAATCTCCCTGACTTCTCCCTGGCGCGCCGGAGTGGAGTGCATGCACCCGCTCATCCATATTACCTGCCCCTTCGTTCGCTACCGCCGTCCCCCTTCGACACTAGTGCACCCGCCTCACCATCCTTCCCGCGCCATGACATACGTTCTCACCATCGCCAACATCCTAGCATTTGTATTTGTGGGTTATTTATAGCACGCCAGAGCCATGTAGGATTCTTCGCTACCCATGCCTGTTGTACGAATACCGTGTACCATGAGGAATTCACATTCGTTTCGCATACATCCATAATAGTCACTGCGGGCAGCCAGAAATTTCAGAAAGTCGGATTATTGGGATTTCCGCCCCTACGGAAACAGCCGCCCGTACGGGCCGACGCCCCTGCCTAATGCGGCAAGTACATACTTGACTCTGTTCTCGCACAATTGCGCTCATTCCTGCCTTCGGTTGCTGATTGAAAGATACACGAGAAACTAGGGTACATCTAGAGTGTGAACCTTCATTTTTCAAAGGGAAAATGTCTCATAAACGGTTAAAGAGATTGACGAAGGAAGTCACGTCACTGTCACATGACGTGACATAGTGTGACGGGTCCCGCTCCTGCTACTCCTCCCGCATTCCTGACGCCTGCTAGCCTTATCTACATTGACTACGGCCCGAAAGCAGGGCCTTTGGCGTTCCATGCACGACTGTGGTGGCAGACAGCCAGCACAGTGCAGCAGCAATCAGGTAAGTGGTTGCCCGATATAGTAATGTCTGTCATTGTCGAGTGGTGGCGCCAGAGCGCTGCGTGTCCGACAACTGGCGCAGCTCAGCGTACCCAGTGTCGGCTATAATATCAGTGCATGTTCTTCCTCCTTTATCACACTCTTGAACGTCCGAACAGTAAGTCTACTCAAGAATCATTGGCAGTGAAGCAATACGTGACATCATGTGACACAGTCCACCTCCGGGGCGGAGTCCGGTCCGGACCCATAGGGGCGGAAATCCCAATAACGGAATGTCCTCAGAAATTTCGTCCGCCGAAAAGGCTTCAACAACTTGTCCGGTCTGAGAACCTGTTGCGAGCATTGACCGAGGCCATCAGAAAGTCGGATTATTGGGATTTCCGCCCCTACGGAAACAGCCGCCCGTACGGGCCGACGCTCCTGCCTAATGCGGCAAGTACATCCTTGGCTTTGTTCTCGCGCAACTGCGCTCATTCCTGCCTCTGATTGCTGATGAAAAAATTTACAAGGAACTAGGGTACATCTAGAGTGTATACCTTACTTTTTCATAGGAAAAACATCTCAAATGGCTAAAGAGCTTCACGAAGGATGTCACGTCACTGTCACATGACGTGACATAATGTGACGGGTCCCGCTCCCTCTACTCCTCCCGCATTCCTGACGCCTGCTAGCCTTATCTGCATTGAATACAGCCCGAAACCAGGGCCTTTGGTGTGCCATGCACGACTGTGGTGGCAGACAGCCAGCACAGTGCAGCAACAAGCATGTAAATGGTTGCCCGATATAGTAATATCTGTCATTGTCGAGTGGTGGCGCCAGAGTGCTGCGTGTCCGCCAACTGGCACAGCTCAGCATACCCAGTGTCTGCTATGATGTCAGTGCATGTTCTTCCTCCTTTATCACACTCTTGAACATCCGAACAGTAAGTCTACTCAAGAATCATCGGCAGTACTGAAGCAATACGTGACATCACGTGACACAGCCCACCTCCGGGGCGGACTCCGGTCCGGACCCGTAGGGGCGGAAATCCCAATAACGGCATGTCCTCGAGGCCATACAGCGGTTTCTATATCGCTAGACCCCTCGATCGCGAAACATGTCTATGGACCACTAAGTCGCCGCTACTTGTGTACAGTGGTCAAATTGGTCACCGAGTGCTGGGTGAGCCCTAGCTTAAGGTTAGTAGCCATAAAAGGGCATAGAGCCCATGACTCAGTGAATCGGGCATCTGAATCTCTTATGGAGACGTTTCCCGGCGTCTGAAGGTCCCTAGGTGGTCCACCGGGAACGTCTAGTCTCGATCAGACACGGCTCACGCCGAGCGGACTTCGAAAAACACAAAACAGAACCACCGGTATAGTATACCGTCTGATCGAGACTAGCGATCGAGGGGCCTAGCAATATGGAAACCGCTGTAAGTAAAAGGAAACCGAACACTGTAAATTCCGACATGTTTGTCCTGTGTTCGCAGAATTCCCCGAACACAATATATTTACTTACTGTTTTCCGTCCTTGTCGTAAAGGTTCTCAGACCGAACGAATGTTACGCGCAATGTTTGGCGACTATAATCAACCGTTTTCTCGTGGTGATTAGGGTTGATCACGGTTCGCTGTCCGGGCAGCTTTCCCGCTAGCTGTCCCGCCAGCTGTCCGAGGCTCGACGACAGCGAGTTCGGCGCTTAGTTCAGCTGTGATCCTGATCACTATCCGGCGAGCTCTTGCTGTCGGCGCATTGTGGCAGAGCGCTCGGCAGTGACTCGGAGGTGGCTAACCTAGGACTAGGGTTGGTCAATGATCTGAATATCCATGTACAATGAATCCCGTCCTATGGTGCACACGAAATACAGAAGTCTCGGATTAGATAGGTAGACAGGTAGATGTTAATCCCCAGGCTTTGGAAAGTTTAGGATTTCAAAGTTATACAAGGCTTAGTATCATCTATGCACTGCCGCTGCTTTCATATTCACTCTCAGCAATGGTACCTTCCCTTATATGGCAACCATCGAAAAATGCGACTAATTCGCACAACTACACTACACTTTGAACTGAACTGTAGAAACAATGCATGTCTTTGATAGAGATTATTGCTTGTCCCTGGTACACAAAAGACGCCTACATACCACAGACAATGGGTCAATTAAGGGAGGTCTGTGTTGTAACCCTAACATGAGGGTTAAGAGCATTGCAAGCTTCACATTCGCATTCCGACCACTGCCGAGCGCTCATGCCACAATGCGCCGACAGCAAGAGCTCGCCGGATAGTGATCAGGATCACAGCTGAACTAAGCGCCGAACTCGCTGTCGTCGAGCCTCGGACAGCTGGCGGGACAGCTAGCGGGAAAGCTGCCCGGACAGCGAACCGTGATCAACCCTATTGTCACCTCGTACAGCGTAATGTCCCTCCTTTTCACACTGCCGTTCCATTTGGCACCTATCCTGGTATCACTGAGTACTTGTTTGGTGCATGATCAGACTCTGTGTGGTAGTAAGATACGGGATCAATTACGAAACAGGCCAGCAGGTCTAGCAATGGCGGAGTACGAGGGTAACATCCCGAGCCTCAAGATATCTTGGTGGCACTGTATGCTACTGTAAAGTGAGCGTAGGGACAGGTTTATCAGGCTTGCAGCCGAAGATCTTGCTGACTTGCATTGGTGTGAAAAGGAGTACCATTACACTGTTGTGCCCCTTCAGAGCATTGATGCTCGAAGGTGTGCCCGGGGGTCAAGATACAGGGAGCGGAGACGCTCGCAGATGATTGCGATGCTAGAAGTCAGTGGGGCGCGCAGAGTACGCGCAGGTGTTGCGCAGTGACCTGCCGCTGGCCCCACGATGCCCCGCTAGTGGACGCCACAAGAGTGTACGGAGGCCCGTACGTGCGCTGAGGCAAGGCGTGGTGGCAAGGTTAACATTCACCGCCACCCTGCATCACCAGCTGAGAAGCCTGACGGGTCCGCATGGCGCGCGCGTACTTACGGCATCTCTTGTGAACAGCGAAACGTGGATTGTCAAACGCCCTGGACGTCGCCACAGCAGCCACCATATCGGACATTGCCTTACGCAACAAGATCTGGGCGCAGCACCGGGGTTTGGCTCTCTTGCAAATGGAGTCCTATTGGTAGCAGCATATCGGCACAAAGTGCCGGGTACGGGTTGCAGAGACGAGGCTGACAGAGCTCCCCGCGGACGGCGACGGACCCTAGAACGGCTCCAGTTTGTACACGTCGTACGCCACCTCCTCGTATGGATGCACCTGTTCGGTGTCGTCAAGATCGCTTCTACGCGCAGGGATAGTGCACGCACCTTTTTCAGCTCCTCGAGCACCCGGTGCATCTCGACGCCTCCATCCGCCCCTTCCCCCGCGCCCGTACCGGACGCGGGGTCCGCAGAGGCGTGCACGACAACCTCGACGCGGTCCTCCTCGACGCGCTCGGGCGTGCCCACCTGCCCGATCGCAGGCTGCGCGCCCTCCTGCGGGACGAACTGGCCTGCCGTTCCGCCCATCACGTTCAGCATTCACAGATCCGAGCGGGTGGTTTCGTTGCATATGAGTGAGGGCGTAGCATGTCCGGGTCGGAGGTCAGCGACCGCGAGCGGTGAGAGGAGCGCCGCGAGAGGACGGACCGGTGCCGCGGCTGACGAACGCGCACCCGCCGTATAGCCCGATGCGCCCTACGCTTCGCGGGAAATGTGCGAAAAGGTGCGCGAGGATGGTCTGTGTCGATGAGGTTGGTGTGAAGAAGACGAGCTTGTAGCGGGGCATGGTTGCGTACGGTGCAACTTGCGAGTAAGGTAAGTACTTACACCGTACCTGCGCCACAATTTCGGTTGGGTACAATCTGCTATAGCTAAGCTGCTGTCCTCGTGACCAAGCGGTGCTATAGTGTAGTGGTTATCACTCGGGATTTTGACTTTACGTTGTCTTCCCGAAACCCAGGTTCGAACCCTGGTAGCACCTTCTCTTTCAGGCATTGGTTTTTGACACGTTTGTGTTTCTTCGCTCTGTTTTTCTGCCCTGAAGATCCACACGGTACCAATGGCCTCTCAAGATCTCATTGCCAACCTGGGGCTGTAAGATATCCCACAATGTTGTTTTTCCCCGCGGTGGAACTCCTCAAAAAATTGATTGACAATAACATACTGCAAGCCATGCCTGAGTATAGCACCAGTCCGAGTCTCCGTTGCAGACCACAACGGCCGACCCGCGTCTTAAGCCTATGCCAGTGCAGCGTTCACGGCCCGAGTAACCTCCGTTATGGCACCGCTTAGCCTATGAAGAGCCTCTTAGCGGGCATGCGCTCTGCTTCGGTAATGAGTGCTACGCAGGTGTTCAATCTTCGTACATCTGTAAACGTCGTCAGTGCGACCAGTTTTCCAGGTGGAACGCAGTGCGCGATCTGAGCCGGACCTTCGATTCCTCACCTCATTGACTCGGAAAGGATCCTCGCAATCTCCTCTGCGACACTGAGGTCAAGGCGAGCGACGTTAGCAGAGTATGAGTCCCACAGATGACTCGGACTACGGCTGCCCGCTAGTCCGAGGTTAAACGCCTCGCGCCACCGGCCTCCGCCACTGCATCGAGTCCGGCGGCGACCTCCAAATTGCATGGGCTCTTACTCGCTCAAACACTGCTCTGGCAGCTTGAAAACCTATCTGATATGCATATCAAACTCAATACAACCCGCTGAAGCTGTCTTCAGGACCGTGAAAATACACAGATGTACAATCAAGTCCGGAGGTCGCAAGCGCCCACGCCAGCTAATAGCAGGGCCGACATACTTACTCGAAGGTGGTATGGCTGAGTACACGGGAGTTTGTTGAAGTGAGAGGGTGCAAAGAGTGCGAGAGCACTGCGACAAGAAGTGAGTGGCCTACTTGGGCTCTGATATAGTGAATGCTAGCATATCCAATTTCGTGAGTCTATGATTTGCCTTGGCCCTCGCCATTGCCCTGTCGTACATACCACACAGATTGACAGTGCAATAGGAGGCAGCACTGTCCTCCGACCATTCGAGCACTAACGAGAATCATGTCGTCGTCTCGGTATTGGTGTAGTCGTCTTGATGTAATCAACTGCATGATATATTTCGTTCCCGCAAATCAACATACAGCATACACAGATCCTTCATGACCGAAAACATATTGGGTCACAGTATCCATGCAATATATATTGAGAATTGAATGCTCGTTCCATCAGTTACATTCGTGCCTTGAGTTGCGCATTCGAGTGTAAGAGAGTGTAACTGCCAGCTGGCGTGGGCGCTTGCGACCTCCGGACTTGATTGTACATCTGTGTATTTTCACGGTCCTGAAGACAGCTTCAGCGGGTTGTATTGAGTTTGATATGCATATCAGATAGGTTTTCAAGCTGCCAGAGCAGTGTTTGAGCGAGTAAGAGCCCATGCAATTTGGAGGTCGTTGCCGGACTCGATGCAGTGGCGGAGGCCGGTGGCGCGAGGCGTTGAACCTCGGACTAGCGGGCAACCGTACTCGGACACTTACGTTGTCGTCCTTAGGACCGGGCACTCGGAACTAAAAAGCCAATAGCGTGGTAGCATGAATTTGGAGCTCAGGAGCTCGGCTAAAACAAACAGACGCTGAGTCACGGTGAGTTTAACCGGGGGGATGAACACATCGCACCCGCCATTGCGGCACTAGTCAGAAGCATGTTAGACCGTAGGGTACGCTAAGCTATTTGTGCGGCAACGAGCGGAGACATACTTTGTCAGTACCAAGACCCTAGATAAGTCCAGGGATAATGAGCATGTACGCCAAGGTTGATGTTTGCTACTACCGATGCATCTTACTTGGGCTTGTGCAGAGATAGACCGAGGGCACCCGCCGTTACGACACTATCACAGGAAAACCCTCACGCGAGGCACACGGTAGTGGACATACATTGTCCCCCACAGGCACGATGACCTGCACATGGGGTGTGAGTAAATCTCTCGCTCAACTGCATCTATGAAGTGGAAGCCCACCTCGTCGATTGGATAAGCATGGACTTTTTGGAGCACTATTTGTGAGCCATTAGTTCAATTCGGGAGACAGCTCATATCGCTCACCTTCTACCACCAAGAACGCCAAGAGACTCGGAACCATGGTGCGAGTCAGGATCAGAGTGGCAGAAACCATCCCAGGACCAGACAGAGAATGCAGTGTTTCTGGTTCAAAGGAGTTGCAGTAACAACTTGAGTTCTTCACGGCCCAGTTTGACATCTTTGATAGATAGGCTCCACCAGAGGACGCAGCATACAGACGAAGCACCATAGATCCATCTCTGTTATGCATACCTACAAAGCCTGACCACACGTATACCCACCATCCGCATGCCGATGCCTGCAACAGGAAAATTGAAAGGACGCCACGAAGCGATGCCTCTCACCTTCAGGGTGCTGGCGATCCCAGCCACCATCGCAGCCGTGCATGAGGTCGCGCTCACACGGAGAGTTGAGTGTATAATTGCGATTCCCAAGTGTGCTTGCGAGTTCTGCCCTGCAAACAGCTACGGCGGGCAAGAACTGTTCCTGTAGCATAGCAAGCATTAGGGAAGGGGAACAGCGTCGGCTCCAAGTCAAGTCATAAGTCACACATACGCAGTTGTTCTGCATCGGACCGACGCTTCAGATCTTCGAAGTTGACTTCAGCGCGAAGTCAAGGCTCAGCCACTGAGCCAGCGAGAGCTCAGTAGCTAACGCGATAAAGCTATGTCGAACTTGCTCGAAATCAGTCTGCTCCAAGGACGTGACTTCCCACACAACTCAAAGCTTGCGGCCGAGGGATCGTACTACTATGCGTGGTAGCGTGGTGTTCTCGGGCTAGAAGGATATCACGGCTGCGCGAAGGGCAGCCAGCATGGGGGCATTCCTGCAACGAGGATGCGCACGTTGATGCGCCACCTCACTACAGCCGAACTGACGTAGCGGCGGGAAGAATTTTTCATGCCTGAAGAAGCCTCCCCTACTCGATTGGCGGCGTTTCCGCTAGGGCATGAACGTTCGAGGGTTTAAGAAACAAATGCATTTAACGTCGATTTTTACAGTGAACATAGTCCTCAACACTTCAAGGATCCCCAGAAGGAATGAGGGTGGGTGTCGAGAGAGCAACGCACCAGAGTAGCTAGTATTCCATGCTCGTATTGCTCGCATCACCGACCGAGCTGTCTGAGTCCGAGAACGCCATAGTGGAGTGGAACGCGAACGCGAACTGAGTGTTAGAGTTGGACTGCCCGAACGGAGTCAACGCCAGGAAAGCAGGAACCAGCGAACTCCTCACCTCATCACTCATCGCAACATCAGCCAGTCCTGATCCAAAGTTACTAACCTCCGGGACCTCTCGCACAAAGGGCGAGTAGAACGGCGGGATGGTGTCCCACGTCGCCGAGTCAGGCGTCACTGGCATAGGCATATGCCCCGTCGCGAGGTAGCTCACGCGATAGCACTCTACGCGGAGTTCCTGCGGTTTCGGTGAACGCACATTCTTAAAGCATCAGACCCGCGCTGATGGCCTACCTCGAAGCTCGTGGAAGTGAGCGGCGGTGTGCACGTAATGCTCTCGAACGTCTCCGTCCTGTTGGCCGGTGAAGTCGATGAGCCACTGGGGGAGGTAAGCACCGCTCTCCGACCATGACGCGCGGACCCGGGGACCCGACGAGGCCGACCGTACACACGGGGCGGGGATACCGGCGCAACGCTGATCTGTTGAGGGACGGGTGCACTCAGTGGCACTTCGAATTCTGCGAGCGCAGCGATCGTGGTTGCTGCTGATGGCTCCGGCGCAGGTGCAAACGTGACCCTCTGAGCACGCAGCCTGACCTTCGGGCGCGCCTGTACGAGTGTGTCCTTGGGTGGGACCTTGATCGTCAGTCGTGCCTTCTGCGTTGCGTTGGGTGCGGCGTAGTCCGAGATCGACGCGTCGGCTGGTGCCGCGTGCATCATAGAGTGCGAGTAGTATGTGGCGAACATGGTACGCTACACGGGTGGCACGCAGCAGAGGGGTGCCACCGGAGAGGGGCAGCCGCAGGGGCCTTATACGGCGACGCGTGCAGCTTGGGCCTGCAGACAAAGCAAGCACGCCCACGTGCCCACACCCGCCTTCGCCGCTCGGACCTGTGCGGTGCGACAATCAACCACAGGGCCAGAGCAGAGCGTGTGGAAGACAACACGCACCTCTTATCGCACCTTGGTGGCAATCCAGAACTCTGCTTCGTACAGCCACCGCATCATCGCCGCGCGATCGGCGGTGTACTCGCACTCAACCGTGCGTCTGCGCCGCGGGCCAGCGGTGTCTGCGGCGATCTCGAAGCCTACCATGCACGCGAGCCGCAGCACCTCTTCGAGGCTGAGCTCGAGCGACGCCTGTCCTCCGCCTGTCCAGAGGAGTGGTCCGAGGTTGATCCACGTCCCGCCTGGCTTGAGGAGTCGGTGGACGTGTTCGAGAGTGTCGATGATGTTCAACGACGTGTCGATGAAGAAGAGCGTCACGACGACGTCGTAGCCAGGCGGCCCGTCGGCGCGCAGGGGAGCTGGTGGTTTCAGACCAAGGAAATCGCCCTCCGCAAGCTCCAGGTTTTCTGAGGGGCGCGGAAGCGCGTCGGGAAAGCGGACTTCGCGGAAGAGCGCATCGGCGGTGCGCTGGTGCGAGAACCAGCTTGCATATGGCTGCAAAACGTGTTGATCTAAGCGTTGAGTGGTCTTCTCAGACAACAGAAAGCGGAGCGCAAGGTTCATGAAAGAGGACAGCTCGTTCGCGGTAACAATAAAGCCTGCCCGTGATATTCAATGAGTTGAAAATGAGAGGCTGTATCCACTCACCTAATTGAGAGATCTCCCAAGCAAGTCTGCCCAACCCAGAGCCAGGAACCAGCACTCTCATTCCATCGCGCCCTACGGGGCTCGCTTCCTTCAAAAGGTCGAGAATAGGGCCGAATATCATCGCGCGTTCCTCTCGTCCCTCCTC